CATCGAGTATTTTGAATTCAAACTCGAAGAATTCAACTGTTCGCCTTCGATTGAACTCACGCTTGAAGGATCCAAACGACTCGAAGAACAACATAGCTCTAATTCCATCTTCGATTCTGGACATCGCATTGATTGATATCCACCGGGATGCTCCTGTTGCCTCTCCTCCTATCATTGCCTTTGCCCTCTTGCGCTCTGATTTCACCTCTGATCCGTAAAACCTTCCCGACAGCCTTTCCTCCTGACCTCAGCATTTCATCTCTCAACAGCAGCGCCAGATCAGCATCCTTGTATCAGTCCACAGGCTTCAGAAAGCTTCTTTGATCTCGATCAATCATCCACCAATCTGATCCTCCAACCAGAACTGCAGCACCATTGACCGCAGTTAAGTTCCAGGAGCTCGTGCCAGACATTGGAGAACCAAAGAAAAGACCAAGCTACAGAGCCCTCGACTTGGAGGTATCAACACACTGGAGCCTGGACAGGATCTGGCTCAGATGGACGGGGAAAGGAACCCCAAAGCACCCTATGCCTCACGGGTTTCCATGGTGACGACCATCTGAAACATCACACTACACTCCAGCCCATTGAATTGGCATGCAAGAAAGGACTGAAGGATTCCCCAGTCTCCTATTCTCGACTTTGACTGAGTCAAATGCCTCTGGGTCCCATGTTTTAGCCTCTCTCATCGCCTTTGAAAGTATGATGACTGAACATGGAATGGAAGGGGTCTTCCAGCTTGTTGTTGGAGATCTCAATACCAACACTATTAATCAAATCAACATTTTCACTGCTCCTGAACAGGTCTCAGAGTCTATGATAGAAAAATGGCATCAGGACCCCACAGTCAATGGAGTCAGACTCATCGATGCCGATGGGGATCTGAAGCAACTTCCTGTTTGCCCGTATGATTTGACAAACCTTGCCTGGTCAGGAAAGGCTGTTCTGAATTCTTGCCCTGATGCTCTCCAGGAAGAACTCAAATCATCTGTTCCTCGAGCCCAACACAATGGGCCCCAACTTCTTTTGGCTCTTCTGCAGAAATTATACAGACCTTCTCTCAATAAGATTTGAAACCCTGAAAGCCAAGCTACTTCACTTGGACATCACCAAGTTCCCTGGGGAGATTGTTTCCATGTATGTTGTAGATACAAGCAAGAGCATCAAAGAGATTTGATTGAACTTTATGTCACGTGATCCCATGCCTGAACTAACCAGCACATCTCTGAGAGGTCTCCTTGGCTGTGTTTGTCCATACTTTCGATCAAAAGTACATGAGATTGTTGTAAAGAGTGACATAAACGGATTTGATAGCAACTATGGGACAAACCAATTGGAAGCACTCGACCACACTTTTGAATGACTCGGATGCCCTCTATCGGGTCCTCATCAACCAGAAATCTTATGAGCCTGCACAACATCTTGGTTCCAAGGGATCCCAGGCCGAAGCCTTCCAGGCAGCAATTGACAAGGCAGTAGAGGCAAAAGTTAGGAGTCTCACCCAGGATAGAAACAGTGGATCAACCATGGCGTACCCGGGTCTAGTGGGTGCGCCTGCTTTGATTGTGTGGCTACTGATCATCATAGAACAGATCCAGCATGTCCCAAGCGAAGTGCTCCCAGGACAACGGTCCTGAGTGCTGAAACCAACTCCATACTCACAACTCTTATCAAAGACAAGCTTGCTTCCATGCACCCAAGGGAGAACATTCCCAATGATGCCCAACACACCTTTTCTTTTGATGGGAAGTTGGTTGCAAAATACTGTCGCAACTGTGAAGGTTCTCCAAAACGGCACAGTGCTCAATTTCCACCATGTGAACTCGGGGTTCAGGCCAAAGTTCTTAAGCCAGGCACCCTCTTCTTGTGGCAACTCTCCTCCACCACCCTCTGCTCCAGCTTCAGCCCCAATCACTGCTGTTTGCAACCTTGCTTCTTCCGTCATGGTATTACCTATGTCAGCTGCTGATGTACCTGTTATAGCCACTGATGAGTTTATACACGCCGGTCCCAATGTTGGGTATGAATTTGATTCCATGCAGGTCAACATGGCAACATTAGATCTCAGTTCTGATAGACCTCCGCTCTCTTCCACTATCAATGGGGCTTTCACTGTTGTGTGTCGCAAGTACTAACACCACTTGCATACCTTTTCTCTTATTGCCCCTCTCTTCTCCCTCCCCGCATTTGTGCTTTTCTATCTCGGGTCTATTCTTTCTCATGTATTGGAGGGAGTAGATGAGTCTGCTATGCAGACATTTATCAATACACTTCGAATTCCAACCCTGATTCTTTGGACAATACCATTGTGGATTGATTAATCTAACGATCTAAGAGATGTAAAGTTTGTATTTCCAAATAAGTGAGCAGTTATTGATTATTTTGTTCTAGAATAGGCCTGCAATTTATAAAGCTGTAAAGCTGAATTGTAAGCTGTATCCCGTCGCAAGGTGGTGATGCTACATCTGAGAAGGCTGAGAAGACGTCTATGATCAGGTTGCAAGCCACACAACATGGTGATGCTTCATCTGAGAAGGCTGAGAAGACGTCAACGATTAGGTTGGAAGTCGCAAAAGGTGGTGAAGCTTCATCTGAGAAGGCTGAGAAGACGTCTATGATCAGGTTGCGAGCCACACAACATGGTGATGCTTCATCTGAGAAGGCTGAGAAGAGGTCTAGGATCAGGTTGGGAGCTGCAAAAGGTGGTGAAGCTTCATCTGAGAAGGCTGAGAAGATAAAAAACAACAAAATCTTTATAACGGATATGGCCCCAATGGACGGATCATCACTGTGCTGCAGCCGAAGCTTTGGGTAACCCTCCCGGCCGAAGCGGGGATTGGTTTCACAGGAGACCACCACTGGTTCCCTCACCGGCACCACACTCCCTAGGGGAGATGGTGCATTTAAAGTTACATTTAAGTATAAATGGCATATCTCGTGTGGATTTGCCGGACATATATTCCTAACTGATTTGTGGGTTTGGCCGAATGGATTCAGGGAGAGTTCTTGGTGGGTTGGATGGAGGGAGAAAAGGAGGGGCGGAAGCGGACGCAGAGGGAATTGGAAGGATGGGAAGTGGAGGTCCTGCATCAATTACCCAGTCTCAAGCTGTGTGGCGTAACTCTCTTCAAGACTGGTTCCCAAGTGTTGATCCATTGTCGGATTGATGCTGTGGGCATTGGGATCTTGTGTTGATTGGTGTTTGAGAAGCCATGCCTGTTCGTTCTGAGGTTTCCGGTGTATTTGTCATATAGCAGCTGAAGTTCATCGATAACCTGTCGTGACAACCATAAGGATAGACATATAAGAATTGAGTAACATCTCATAACCTGCATGCTACAATACATTTTGGGATTGAGAACTAAGACGTCAATGATTAAGTTGCAAGCCACACAAGACCATGTTGCTACATCTGAGAAGGCCGAGAAGAGGTCGAAGATAAGGTCGGAAGTCGTAAAAGGTGGTGATGCTACATCTGAGAAGGCTGAGAAGACGTCTATGATCAGGTTGCGAGCCACACAACATGGTGATGCTTCATCTGAGAAGGCTGAGAAGACGTCAATGATTAGGTTGCAAGCCACACAAGACCATGTTGCTACATCTGAGAAGGCCGAGAAGAGGTCGAAGATAAGGTCGGAAGTCGTAAAAGGTGGTGATGCTACATCTGAGAAGGCTGAGAAGACGTCTATGATGTGGGTAAAATAATGCCCTTCGACATGATAAGGGACCCACATAAATGAGTCGCTAAAATTTGATCCAGCGTTTTGTGCACCTTCCCCATAATATCCACTTTGCCCAAAATGCGCTTCTTAGATGAAGCTCAGGAAATTCGAACAGATAATAGGGGGTAAAGTGGCTCCGGAAGCATGACTCAATGCATGACACACAAGCCGAGTCGTCAATAATTCGGAGCTCATTTTTCGACAAATTCTGTTAACTCGCGATCGGCCGATGCTCAAGCTGAGCATGCGATCGCGATGAGGCAAAGCTGTGAGATAATGCAAGGCTCTACCGGTGATAGTAGCAGTAGTAGTAACAGTAGCAGTAGTAGCAGTAGAACGTGCAGTATCAGTAGTGGCTGAGATAACAAGAGGATTGCTTTCCAGCGAATCCAAGATAATAGGATCCTCATCGCGATTTCGATCGACAACAGGATAAAGAACAAGGGGAACAAGTGGATTGCTTACGAGCAAATCAACAAAAAGGGGATTGCTTGCGAGCGAATCCAAGGTATCGACAAGGGGATCATATGGATCCAATCGACAGATTAAGTTGCAATAAGGGGAAGGACTACCGATGAAGATAATGAGAGGAAACTCAGGACTCTGCACCAAGGGATAGCTCATTCCATTGACAACCATAAGGGATAGACATATAAGAATAGGAATGAGTAACATCTCATAACCTCGCATGCTACCATGCGACAATACCATTGTGGATTGATTAATCTAACGATCTAAGAGATGTAAAGTTTGTATTTCCAAATAAGTGAGCAGTTATTGATTATTTTCTAGAATAGGCCCGCAATTTATAAAGCTGTAAAGCTGAATTGTAAGCTGTATCCCGTCGCAGCGTAGTGCACGTGGAATCCAGAGAATCACCGACTCAATGCTTTCTACTTCCTGATTCTTCTGGCGACGAGGACGGCGACGAGGACGGTTCTCGCCGGTCACCAGACATGGTTGGAGCAGCGTTCTCAGTACAACCAGAACCAAAGACCAGGGCAGAGAAAGTCAATGAGCTCGTGTCCCAAGGAGAAGCCGTGCATATTGGAACTCGAGAGTGTTCTCCATTTCATCCGTCGCAAGTCCTTGTGAAGCAGGTCAAATTTGAGAATGGAGAAGAGTGGACTGGTGACCGAGAAGAGAATGAATTCACAGGCAAGTCTCCACTCATTGTTGATCCCACCTCCACCCAACTTGAAGGAGCAGGGCTGCTTCTTGGTCTCGCACAACCACCATCACAGTCTCCACCAAGCAAGTCGACAACAGAAACTTCGAATGGCAAATGATGCGCGCAAAGAGAAAGCACGTGCCCAAGTCAAAGAAAATGGATTTTCAGACAGTTTCATGAGACAAGACCTTGACTTGAATGAGAATTCAGAAAGTCCTTCTGCATTTGTTCCTAATATGCCTCCTCCTCCTCGAAGGTTCATTGCTGGACAGTACCAAAACCCATATGGAAGGAAGAAACCAGTGCCACCACCACAACCGAAAGAGAACGCGAAAAATCACAATGATGTCGCCCTTGCTCAAAGAGTGCTCGAGCTTGCACATGAACACGGGTTTGATGGAATGAGTACCGAAAAGCAGAATCTTGTGAAGAACACCAAGCGAGGAAAGAACACCAAAGAGACAGAAACAAGGAAAGTGTCGAATGAAAATCGATTCTTCCAGATACTCAAGGACCATGGAGGAAAACCATTCGAACCCCTACTCCAGAAAGTCCCAGTTCGGTACAATGGATACAGCAAGGATGCAAAGGCATTGGACTATGCCTTCTTCAATGTTCTTGGCTTTTCCCGCGACAAACAGACACATGCCATTCTCAACAAAGCTTGCATTGTGATCGGTCTCAACCTCAACAAGAAAATCGGCAAAGACGGAACCAAAGGTGATCCCTTTCAACCAAATTCCACGGAACAGTTCTTTCGGGGAGCGTTCGCAGTGCTGAAACGCAAAGGTATTCAGTTCGACTTTGACAAAGACTTCAATAGTCCGGGAGAATTCCATGGAGTAATGAAAGAACACTGGGCATCCATCCGCAAAGTCGACAAGACATATGCCACCAACAAAGAAAGGAAGAGAATCAAAGAGAATGTTCTCAAACTTGCTTGTAAAGCCGTCCGAGAAGGCTTGATCAAAATCACCAACCGACATGATGTCTTCCTGAGTGTACACTTCAACAATGGACTGTTCTTGTGTTTTCGAGGGAAAGGTGACCACGTGAATACTCGTAAAGACTATCTTCGAAGTGGAGTGTATGACGATGATTTTGATGATGACTTGGATGGCAAGATTGGTGGTACCGAATGGAGAGGATTCTTTGTGCCCTTTTCGAAGACAGAGCAAGTTGAATTCGGCAACACTAGTCTTCCTCCCGAATCCGAAAGGATCAAGACCATGATAAATCGTCCCGACCTTGATTACAACCCGGTTGATTGGCATGACACATTCGTCGAGCACATGCATCCCGATGCAGTTGGATTTTACGCATATCCGTACACCAAAAAAGAGTCAAAGATCGAAAATGCAAGACTCAAACAGCGGGATATCGATTGGAACAAAAGTCATCCAGAGTGCCCACGATCAGTCAAAGACTATGATGTCTGGTTCAAACCGAGCGATCCGGACATTGCCAAGAAGGATGGAAACGTCAGCCATAACAAACATTGTCTTTTTGTCAAGCAATTCTGTGCCAAGATTGGAGTACAGGATGCCAAAAAAGTGGCATCAGGTCATGCGCTGAGAGCAAAGGCATGCACCATCATGAAAGGTCTTGGCGTGGATCCGCATGCCGTGGCTCGACAAATGGGTCATAAGAGCATTGACACACAAAAGCACTATACAGAGAGTACTCTTGCTCTGAAGGCTCAGGCAATGAATGCAATCGGTTCCGTAGGTGTTTCTCGTGCAAAGAGGAAGTCGACCGGGTTGCCAGTGGAAGATCTTACTCAAGACACTCCTCCATCCAAGAAGCCTGCACGGGGAAGCACATTGAATACAGCGGAGAGAAAGGAGTTAGAGGCATATCGTCGTGAACAGGACCCGGAACGAAAAGAACTCGAACGTCTTCGACGTCAAAGTTTGGAATTAAAAGGAAAGGAAAACAATCCACCGGTACCACCAATCCCACAAGTGTTTCCCCCCGTCCCCTATCCGTATCCCTACCCATATCAACCACCGTATGGATACCCACACTATTCCATGCCCCCACCCCCACCACCACAATACAATATGTATCCTCCTCCGGTGGGAATGACACCATCGTCAAACAAACCGGAATCAAACAATAACAATCAACTTACCGGTGGACATCATGGTGGTCATGTTTATGGATGGAATGGACACTTTTCCGGCAACTATGGTGGTGGTGGTGGTGGTAATGTTTGAATTCGACATAGCTTCCGCTTTTGCTTTTGGTTTTTGGATCGAGGAAATTATGAGAGCAGAAGTGAGGAATGGATTGGAGTGGTCTTCAGTCGATTTCAGCCTTCGCGTTGGTGTCAGTTCCGTTCCTCCTCTCTTAACGTTCCGTTTGCTAAGAACCCCGAACTCGAGCAACAAAAGTGGAATATCAAATTCTAAAACAACTCTATATCATGAGTTTTGTACCATAAATTGATAGTCCATATTTGTTGCTCAAAGATACGGTTTATTGGGAATTTTGTCACGATCCATTTCAACGCTCTAAAATCGATCCACATCAACAAAAAGCGTTTACCAATGGAATATGTATAAAAACGGTCCGCTAAATTGAAGATCGACGGCCGCGCGCTATGGACGCGTGATTCCGAGGCGAAGCCGAGTGCGGCGCGTACAGTAGCGCACAGGCCGGAGATCTTAAGACGAGGACAAGGCAAGATCGAGGCAAGGTCAAGGCGAAAGGAAGGCCGAAGGCCTGGAAAAGCCAAGACCGAAGATGAGATCGCAGACGAGACCGAGGCTGTCAATGAAGAGGGCCGTCATTTGTATGTAATCTGTACAGTGATAATCCGAGAGAAATAAGCTGTTAGATGCTACTCGTGTAGAGACTATTGTAACTGCCGGCCGCTCTGTTGTTGTCGATCGCTCGCGGCTGTTGTTGACCGCTACCTGGAACCTGGAAGCCGTCGTTGTTGTCGATCGACAGCACTTGAGCGATCGTTCATTGTCCACCGCTCGAAGCCGTCATGGTGGGCTGTTTCGGCCGTTGTGGATTGTGGAAGAAGAGAAAAGGACATAGCTTTCGCTGTTTTCGATGCTGAATTTATGAGAGGCTAGAACTAACTGCAAAAGGATCCTTTATTTCGCGTCGAGTCGGAGAGGTTCCGACTGTTGGCTCTCTCTCTTAACCTTCCGTTAGACAATAGCCAGTAGACTAGCAACAAGTTCGATTTTCCATCCTCTCCTATTACTACAAATTGCCATACCAATTGCATCAGAATGTGGAAAATTGTTGTTGCAGCTGTTGATGCGGCTGTTGCTCATGGTGATGAAACTGCGAAGAAATTGCCTTCACATCTTGAAGATTCGGCAGTTTGTGAGTAAACTTACTTAGTTCAGTCACTTTTTGCTAAAATCGTATGATCTTGAAGATCTCGTTTTCCAGTCAATGTTCTTTTCTTAAAGAGGTTTCCAAAGATGTGCGATTTTATTTTGTACTATTTTACTGATGCCACGTCATCCTAAGACATCCGTTATTGAGAATAGAAGATAGAAAAGAAGGCGTCTTGAAAAATTTGTTAATCGTGTCAAATTTTACTATGCGAATAGTAGTAAGATTCAATTCTTGTCTTAATTTCCGTTAACTCCAGGAATCCACATTGAAACGGCTGAAACACATGATTCGAAAGGACAATTCCCTCACTCTATCAGGCACGTCTCATCCGACAAATTAACGGCTGTGTAGAAAATGTACCAGCTCTACGAGGATATCACCGGACAGATTATGTTCAATAATTCACAAAATTGCCGTCATCAAATTGAAGAAGGTTGCTTCTTTGAAATAGTACGACAATGAGCACCCTTCTAAAATTGACACTCACAAGTTTGTATCGTACTTGATTTGTTGTTGATTCTTACTTATGCTTAAGTACCAGCGAAATTTTATGCACATGGTCGCTGAAAAAATTCTACGGTGTTTTTGACCGTTTTGATGACGTAGCGATTTTTAGGGATAAAGGTTAACGGTCGGTCGCAACCCCAGACCGACGGTTATAAATACAGACCACGTGGTCTGTTCAATCCTTTCAGTCTAAGAAGGTTCAGTACTGTAAGTCGTTGCTTTCCCCGCAATCTTGACCTTTGATGGTTGAAGCAGCGAAGCACCAGTTGAAGCATCCCATTGAATCAATGGAAGTTAGCAAAGAAGGGCATCCATTCAGTCATCAAGACTGCACAGCTACTGCATGCATGGTGGATGGGCCTCAGCAAAGAAGCGATGACCACCATGGATCTATGGTGGTCATTTACAAGTACTACTGTAATAGCACAGTACAGTAGTAGATCTCCAAGAATTTGGAGCTTGCTTGGAGCAGCATCCATCGCACCATCGCAACATCGCAACATTGCTTGGTTCCGAGAGTTTTAAATACATGTAGATAAGGAAATATTTGTAAGAGATGTCCAAGGAAAGCTCCAATCAAGAAGACAAAGAAGGATGGACCGACAATGGTGGCAGCCGAGAAGAGACTGGGGACGAAGAAACCGCAGCCACTAAAGTCCAAGAAGCGGAGGAGGAAGACGTAAAGGCTGCTAGAGACGTGTCGTTAGTTAAAAGCGGTACGATTGTTGTCCTTCCACCAGAAAATACAAATGATAATGATGATGGCAAGAACAACAATATGTCCATTGGTCGGTTCGATCAAATTCCTGACCATGTCGTCCGAACAGCTCCCCGTAAAGGAATCGCTGCTGCCTCAAACTACACCATTGCGGGAGGAGATGTGATCCCATTGCCACAACGACAGCCATACCGTCCCACGGTGCAACCAGGGGCCTACGCTGTCAACAACTCCCCACGGAATAATACTGTTGCACCCTCTCCACCAGAATCACTGCACGAAGAAGAACAAGAAGAATCGGTAGCCGAACAGACACAGCAGGACAGGCAAAACAGCGTGGATGCGAGTGCCCAACAAAATTGTCCATGGGATATTACTGGTACATCCCGCCAAATGATGAATCCTATGAGCAGTAGTGACAATGACAATGACGACGACGATACCACAGTGGATCTCGATTTGGGAGTTCTGGTGGAAGCAAATCCAGTGGAACCACGCGACAGTTTCATGGCACGTCAACTGCCAGCAGCAGAAATGATTGGAAGCGAGGAATTGAGAGTCATGGGGGACAGAAAACAAAAGTCCAGGGAACAACGAGACAAGCAACAAAAACAAATCTTGGTCTATGCATTTTACGGACTGGCTTCTTGTGTGGTCTTTGCAGTAGTACTGGGAGTTGTCCTCTGGAATCGCAGTAGTGAAGAAAGTTCGACGACTGGTGGTATGATTACTACAACAACAGCCTTTCCATCCATGCCACCATCATCGGATTCTCCATCCAGTGCTCCAACAGAGGCTCTTGATTTTATGCTAGGGGATCTTCCAGAGGACTCACAAAAACAGTTGGACAGCATTGCAACGCCTCAATGGAAGGCCATGGACTGGCTATCAAGACACCCTGAGTTGTACAATATGGAAGAATGGAGAAAACTGCAACTGTTCGCTTTGGCTGTATTTTACTATGCATTTGAGGGGCCAAATTGGAGAGAAGAAATTCGCAACAATTGGATGCTTTATGATGAATCTGAGTGTTTTTGGTTTTCAAGTGCCTATGGAAGATTCAATGAGGACGGAGCATACTCTCAAGAACGGAGGGATGTAAATGTGGACCCTTGCGATGGACAAGATAGAATCCAAGCCATCATCCTTGAAGATTTAGAACTCTCTGGGACCGACCCTTTCCTGCCTCCAGAAATTGCACTCCTTTCATCTCTTGCGTACATTTCCTTCCGCTGGTCTGCAATCAATGGCACCCTAGGCAATCTAATCCCATCAGAAATGTACCACATGCCAAATCTTACTTTCCTGGCTCTCAACAACAACAACCTTTTGGGAGGAAGCATTCCAAGCGAGCTCAGCATGATGGCATCTCTACAAGATCTCCAGTTGGATGACTGTTCCCTCTCAGGCAGTCTGCCCAGTGAGTTGGGATTGCTGCAGAACCTGCAGTACCTGTCTGTTCACCGCAACCAAAACATAGAGGGCATAATCCCCACAGAGTTTGGTATGATGACCAGCATGCGGCGAATGCACTTCAATCAGAACAAAATTGCAGGTTTGGTCCCCAGCGAAATTGGACAAATGACAAGACTACGACAGCTAAAACTTGCCAAGACGTCCATCACAGGCCCCATACCCACCGAATTGGGTCTTCTTGAGAACATGATGGACTTGAGATCACAAAAGACCAAGCTCACAGGTTTCCTGCCCAGTGAGTTTGGTCTGTTGACTAAGCTTTCACTACTGAACTTTGGACACAATAATCTACAAGGAGAGATCCCTACAGAGTTTGGAAAGCTCACCAATCTGACTGAACTATATCTTATGAGGTCATCCCTCTCTGGGCCTATCCCCTCTGAGTTTGGGTTGATGGCCACCCTGAAAGAGCTCCAGTTGGATGGGAACAGGCTTTCTTCTTTACCAACGGATTTGTGGCGACTGACAAACATGGAAGAGCTCACGATCAGTGGGAATTCATTCGATGGGAAGTTTCCATCTGAGATGGGACTCTTGACAGCACTGGTGGACTTGAATGCTGACTCGAGCTCCTTCACTGGGATCCTTCCTAGTGAGCTTGCTCTGCTGACAAGCATGGCTACACTGCAGCTGGGTGGCAACCAGTTTTCCGGATCTATCCCAAACGAGCTGTCTACTTTGGCAGTGAATGGTTCCCTGGAGCTATTGACTCTATTGGACAACTCCCTTTCTGGAGTAGTCCCGGATGGCTTGTGTAGCTTGGACCAATACAACCCCAACGGCAAAAAGCCCAGAGGCCTAGTGTTTGACTGTGGTGGTTTGCTCTGTGGGTGTGATTGGTGCGGGTGTAGTCTTAGGCTATAGTCAGTTGGAGACAAGTTTGTCTAATGAAGGCGAACTAAATCATCCATACTAGTTCCATTCTTTCATTGCCTGCCTTGTCTTAGATTGAGCATTTCACTCAGACCAGATCAGACCGGACCGGCCGTTTGCAGATGCAGTGGAGGTGGGCAGCAACCCAAGTGAGCAATACACCAACTTCTAAGTAGAAGATGCTCCAAACTCATTGCAGCTTGGGTCCTTTTCTTTGGTATCTGAGGAGGAGCCAGCTACATGTAGGTAGCTAGCCAGTAGTCCAGCTTTGGGCTCCTGCCAAGAGATATCATTCCAGTCCCAGGCCGTTCATGACCAAAAAGGGATTTTGTGAATGAGTAAGTCACGTTTTGCGAAAGATTTTTTGGTACGCTTATCACTGACGTACCATTTCCCATGGTGCGTATCCTTCGAGTTCAATAGACCGTTAACCCGCCTGGTCCAAAATGAGAAAGCAACGACGACTTCGATCGCTGCTACTACTCTCCCCAACAACAACAAGCAACTACCGATCACCATGAGATTGTCGAGCGTCTGCCTTCTTGGCCTTTTGGCCCCTGCTAGCGCCTTTGTGGCTCCCAGTGTGCCCAAGGCGCAACAGCAACCGACTGCTTTGGAAGTTATCCGAAGTAAAAACTTCAAGAATGCCATATTGGTCGAGCCCGAAGTGGATGGTGCTGGTGTGGCAAAGGCTGTGGTGAGTATTGCTTAAAACTATGGGTGGGGCTCTTTATAGAGCAATGAGGAATGGCAGGGCTAGCTAGCTAGCCTTGTGTGTGATTTCTGTTTTTTGCTGTGCCTCACTGCAGTCTTCCTTTCTCGGTCATTGTCATTGCAGGGCTACTTTGGAGCCAGTGTTGCCTGTGTGGGTGCCCTCTTCCTTGGAGGAGCTCCTGACCTTCCAGGGTTCGAACTTCCAGGTTTGAGCTTGCCTTCTATTTCCGCTCCCACCGTTGAAAGGGTAGCCAAGAAAAAGACTCCCCCCAAGACCTCCTCGTCCACCCCCAAGGAATATTCCTTCGGAGAAGATACTCCCGCCAAGAAACAGCGAATATCGCCGGCTGCAAAGAAGGCTGCTGAGAAGGAAGCAGCTCAAGCCAGGAAGGAAGCCATTTCGGGCAAGCGTGCCGAACAAGAAGCTGCTGCTGCCGCCGCTAAGGAAGAGGCTGCTGCAGCAAAGGCTGCCAAGGCAGAAGCTGCTGCCGCCGAGAAGGCCGAAAAGGCGGTAAGTGTATTTTTCCTGGGTCCTGATTCTGTTTCATTCTTTTCGAACACTCCACTTACAGGTTGACTTCTTTCATCCCAAAGGCTGCCAGGGAGGCTGCCAAGGCTGCTGCTGCTGAGAAGGCGGCAGCTGAGAAGGCCGCCGCCGCTGGTGCCACTGATGATGAGAAGGCTGCTGCTGCTGCCGCCGCCAAGGCAGACGCTGCTGCAGCAAAGGCTGCCAAGGCTGAAGCTGCTGCCGCTGAGAAGGCTGCCAAGGAGGTAAGTGTGTTTATCCTGGGTCCTTGTTCTTTTTCATTCTTTCGAACACTCCACTTACTGGTTGACATCTTTCATCCCAAAGGCCGCCAAGGAGGCTGCCAAGGCCGAAAAGGCCGCTGCTGCTGAGCAGAAAGCAGCTGAAAACGCTGCCGCTGCTGAGAAGGCTGCCCTTGCCAAGGTAAGATTTCCCAGATAGACAGTGACGAGGGATGTTGGTTGGTTCGAACCACTTTGACTCAAAACGATTTCTCCTGGTCCTTTCCGTCCACAGGAAGCTGCTCAGTTGGAGAAGGCATCCCAGAGTGGTAGCGCAGCAGACGCTGCTGCCGCGGAGAAGGCCGAAGCTGAAGCTGCTGTTGCCGAAGAAAAGGTACGTGAAATAGGACTGAGATCAAAGCACTTTAAGCTACGGTATCTAGCTTGGAGGAGGATGCGCCCTGTCAGAAATCTCAAGTTTCGATTTTATCTCTCTCCCATCGTACACAGGCTGTCGCCGAGAAGGCCGCCGCAAAGAAAGCTGCCGCTGATGCTGCCGCCGCCGAGAAGGCCGAAGCTGAAAAGGTATGATTGTAATCTTGGGATTTAGGTTTGCGATCTGCTATTCATGCATTCCTTCCTAATGTGCCTTTTCCTTCCTCGTAAAGGCCGAAGCTGAAGTTGCCGCCAAGGCCGCCTCAGATAAGGCCGCTGCCAAGGCTGCTGCAGATAAGGCTGCCGCCGAAGCTACCGCCGCCGCAGAAAAGACCGCTAGTAAAGGAGGATTGGGTGTTGTTTCCGGCAGTGCGACCGGAGGCAAAGTCTTGCCCAAGGAAGAAATCAGTGATGAACTTCGCGCTCTTCTCAAGGTAAGCTTTCTACAGTAGTATGCAACGAATGGATTGTCATTTTCGACTTGGTGTTCCTCACACCTTTCCCAAATAATGCTATCTGCCACAGAAATAAGCATTTTCTTTATTGCAAGTGCCCCCTCCAATTTATAATAACTTCCTTAGACGCTGCAAATAAACGAACTTGGTTGTTCTTTGTATCTACACTGATTGCCTTCTCATTTATTTCATCTTCCTAGCTACGGTATCTCCTCATATCTCCTCATATCTCTCACAAAACTGCTATGCACGTGATTCATCCTTGTCGCGACAAAACAGCTCCATGGAAACAACGCCATCGACTGTGCCGTCCTTGGCCCAAAAGGTTCGCAGCAAGCAAAAGTGCTCTCCATCACGATACCGTCGTGACTCCTCAATGTCTCCATTGGGTGTTTGCGTGATGGTCACATGCGCCACCGTGGCACCTTTGCCCTCGAGTGATTGTGGGGCATAGAACGTGCGCCGTTGTAGTGTCGCGGTACCACCAGCATCGTTGTCGTTCGCTGTCTTGCCAAAGAGAGCGGAAGATGTGAGATCATACTCTTCCTCCCATTCTTTCCCAACAGGATAGACGAGGACACGCCTGGGCGTCACACCATCATTTCCGTAGGTTGTCACTTTCCACTCTGGCAGCTGTTGGTCGCTGCTCTTTCCGTTGTCAAAAGTCCAGGTTTGTTTGTAGGGTGCTTCCAGTGACGTTTCAATTTGATCTTTTGTGAGGCCACGCGCATTCAGTGCGGCTTCCAGGTTACGTGACAATTCCACCTTTCGAGTCCATGTACCTTGAAACGTCTGGGCTGTTTCTTGGCAAGATTGTTGCCATGTCGATAATGGCAATGACAGCATGTTCTGCAAGGCTTCGTATGGCCCTCGTTTGGCTGGCCAAATATTGTCAATCACATCGGTCAAGGATCGCCATTCCGCTTGTCGAAATTCGGCAGATTCTCCATTTTGACCGCTCAAATCGCACATGCCACTGGGATCGGCATCCCCTCTTCCATCGATGCACCGAAACAGAACCCAATGCAGTTCTTGACCGGCAAATCCACTTTGGGCCAACCAACTGTTTGTGCCATCCGTTTCATAGCGAATGCCGCCGGCATCATCGTTAGTGGTAGTAGCATCCATGAGTACCACATGCTTGCCCAGCACCAATCCCATTTCTTCGTACAGTTCTCGTGTCGCTGCCTGGGTGACGGTTTCCTCTTGGAACTGGTTTTCTTCCCATGCGGCATCGACGCCTCCTTGGGGTGCTTGCCAGGCATTGGCAATGGACACGCGTTCCCCCACCAGGAGTTGGTTTTGCGAATTGAACACGGCGGCAGCGGCCGTCATGCGGTATTTCTTTTGCGTACTTTCGTCAATGACAAATCGACTGGGAGCATACACAGTCGTGGTGGTGGGAGTGCTGTCAGCCATGGTGGATCGACGAGTCCTGCCGGGCCTTTTTTGTGGTTGTGTGACAAGTCCCTGACAAGAACAGGCGAGGAAACGCAGCACCAAAGCGGCGACAACCGCAGTGCCAAGGCCACGTTGCGGCGCCGTGAGTGGCATTCAATCTCTATTATCTGGGTTGGAATACCCTATGGTAGGAAGGGATATTGCGCGTGTCAAGGATACTGGTATACTGGTACCTCTGCACTGCACTGATTCTTCTGCCCCCTTACCCATTCTTGACCATGCGGTCAACTCCGTCCTCGGTTGCCTTTGGCAAAATTGGTTCACTCACTGACAGCTCTGACGTCACTTCGTGGGATGTTTGGGTCGGGCGAGACGGGACATCTTGTCTTTGCAAAGGGCTTCTCGTGAAGTACCATTACCAGTACTACTACTAGTACCATGCCGTTGGCACCGATTGGCAAGGAGTGATCCATGCAAGCTTTCCTTTATTTTAAAAACTACACCCTACTACTGCTACTCCAAAACTCTCAACTACAGTACCTACTAACACCAGTTGTGAAGATTTTTTACAGACACTTCATATAAAATAAATATTGAGTAGTGAATTCAAAGGAACACACCAAGCAAGTTGGTTCCACGTGGCTACATGCATGGATCTTCGGCCAAGCCTTCTGCCACAATGACACTGTTGATAAATGGCCATGGTCTCCAATCATGTCCCCACATTGGTACTGTTGGTTTCATTGGTGGCACCCACGATCATGTAGAGCTGTTGGTTTCATTGGAGCAAAGACAACTGCATCCACATAGCAAAGGGCTGCAGTCAAAACTTAGACCAAGAAAATCATCTCCGCAGACATATTCTGGCAGTATTCCAGACAACCCTGTCCCTGCCACCATCAAAAAATCCAAGCTTGTCAGGTTTCGGGGGATTGTGCCAGTCAGGAATGTGCTGTTCGACAAGGACAAGTAGTAAATATTTGGGCTGAGCCCTTCAGGGAGAGAGCCAGACAGAAGAGAGTTTTCCAGAAATAGCATGGTCAATGGCGCATTCGCCAACTCAGATGGTATTGTTCCGGTTAGGTTGGTATAGCCCAAAGACAAAGCTTCCAGGTTGATGTTTTGGCCAATTTCACTCGGAACTGATCCTGTGAGACTGTTGCCATCTGCCCCAAAGCCCAGTCTCAAGTTCGTTAGGAGGCCAATCTCGGTGGGAATAGTTCCAGTGAAGGTGCAGGAATTCAACCCAAGGAAATCGACAGCAGAGAGCTGACCAATCTCTGTAGGGATGGTGCCGGTAAAGCTGGAGAAATAGAGATTCACAATTGCAACATCAGTCAAAAATCCAATCTGCGATGGTATCTCTCCGGAGAAACCATTAAAAGCAAGAGACAGATAGGTGAGATTGCTCAGCAACCCAATTTCCGTAGGTATGGTTCCTGTGAGTTGATTCTGCCCCGATGAGATTATGCCATAGGAGCCATATGGGTGCGGCGCAGCTGTGCTGGCTCAGTCTGATGGAAAGATCGCTGTTGCATCTGTACAGTCTTTCAGTACAATGAGCTGTGTCACCATCAGACAAGATAGGAACAGCTGTAGAGGACATAGAGTTCCTCTGTAAGGAAGGATGATGCAGTTCCTCAGCCATGACATATCTAGAAAGATAGCTTGGTCAATACCAGCCAAAAGAGATGCATGGATCTGTATCCTGCATGGCTGAGGATGGAGTTTCACGCAAAATCAGAGTTTGTGTTCATTTATAGTTTAAAGAAGTAATGAGAAGTAGTTGACCTGAGAAACAGACCCAACAGCACAAGTAGAGCTCTGCAGTAGACAGGATCCTGTATGGCTAGTGCCAGGGTATTGAGCAATTAGACTGTTCAATCATTGCTTCCACAGTGATTGAATAGCATTGGCTGCCAGCCTTGGGCTGGCCTTTCCAGCGCCAGTGGAAGGAGATCCCCACCAAACAGGGCTCTCCATCCCAGCTCTTGTGCACCTACCGCTGAGTTCCTACCTGGAATTCATAGGATTAACAGTCGCAAGACAAGCACAAGAGTGGCTAAAGTGCAGAAGAGTGGAAGAAGAGGCAGGAGTTCGACTGAAGAGAGCTCGACGACTCGGACGTGCCGAAAACTCGAATCGCGACCGATTCGAGTGGAAGCACCGTGCACACCTACCAAGTCAAGGGTGCTCTACAAGATAGACCAGCCTGTGCCTTGGTTAATAGGCTTGGAACAAGTGAACGACGGGCCGAAGCCATCGGCTGATCCCTCAACAAGAAATCGCGAACAAAATCTGCCGATCGACCTAACTCGACCAATATCAGAGCGGTAGGAGCGAAAGCAAGTGTTCCACCTATCAACCAGACGGTGCTGGAGAGGATAGGCCAGCCAGTTTCAACTTACACTGTGTCACCCTCAGCAAAGGTGAAGCAGTCGGGCTGGAGCAACACCCACCCAAGCTGGTGGCTGTGGAATGAGCCACTGCCATGTCATGTGACAGGACCTGCACCGGTCATACCCAAGCAAGCACCAAGTTAGTCGTGTCTCTGGACGGGATTCCTTTGAACCCATGTAAGGAGATGGTAAACTTGAGGAGACGTCTGCGAGGTGTTGCCTTTAGCTGAGGCAATATCTGATGATAGGACAACCAGTCCCACCTCATAGGATGACAACTTGTCACCTAACTACCCAGTTGAGGGCTCCAGATGAACAGTTATGGCCAAGATTGTTCTCACTGGCCCTTATGGGGAGATAGACAGATGCCTTCTAAGCCAATGAGCTATGATGCAAGTATGGGGAGACCAGGTAGGATCCCAATTGATGGTCAGATGGACCAATGCCAATGCACCCTTTCTCTCCTGAACACGACTGGAGGTTTGATCACAGGCCCATGTGATGCCCCTCCCAATGTGTCAAGTGGTACTCAGCAATGGACACCTTGATGTATTCAAGAGGGTTGGTAACCCCTGAGGTAAGCAACCAAAGTCCACACTGAGAAGCCAGATGCTACCAGTTCATGGAAGTATCGAGGGAAGCCCCATGATGTGCAAGCTTGTTGGCATCCCATCCATCTTGGTTGGTAATTACTGCCGGAATTCCGGATTACTGGCTACTTACGGTACGATTCCGGAACTCTATAGAACAACAGTTACGGTAACCGTAAAACGTCACCGGAATTAAGGGCATGCACGATTCCGGCAGGAATTCCTAGGATTCCGGAAGATTACTCCGGAATTCCGGATTGCTACCGTTGGATCGCTAGCCGGCTTCCAGAAGATTTCACTTTGCTCAGGTTTGTCGTGCAATTCTCATGCCAGATGCCATTCGCTGACACCTGGCAAAAGAATTGTCTGACGCACCCGTGCAAAATGGTCACTTGAGTATCGCTCAACCAAAGAGGCCTCGCTCGTTGCCCACATACATTGGCTTTCATTCGGTTCCATCGATCGATCCACAACTCCTCTCTCCTATCAAGATGATACATTGGCTCTTCTTTACCTGCCGCTTGGTTCGATGACACCACCATGATGATAGGCATCTCCGGCACTCTTTGCCGGTCAGTTCGATACGTCACACGCTTTGGTTGGCCTGTAATTGGTTCTGTATTGGATTTCGTATTGGATTTCCCAGTCGACGTTGCATTTCCATCCAACGAAAGTCACCACGTCAACCATGGCCAACCACGGCCGACGGCCGACGGCCGACTTCGAAGCCACAGTTTTGCAGCTCTCATCTCTCACAAAATTGAATGAGCGCTTCCTTCATTCGCTTTGGTCCAATCGTTGGATTTTTGAGCCCTTTGTCGCAATCCACCACAACAACAACCACATCTCCATCTTCACCGACAGAGACTCTTTTCACCATGGCAGGAAATTCCACCAGGAGTTCTCCTTTCCGTGTAGGAGAAGACGATGACAATGGTGAAGAACCGCCCCTGCTTCATCCTAGGGATGAACATTCTTCTTCGGAAGAGGAAGACGAAGACGAATCTTCTCGCAAGCCAGCTGCTCGCAAGAAGGCTGTTGCCCGCAAGGTCAATATTGCTGTCAAGAAGGCGCCTTTCGCTGCTCGCAAGGCGCCTCCTTTCGCTGCTCGCAAGAAGGATCTTTCTTCTTCGGAGGAGGAAGATGACGAAGTTCCTGTCAAGGCCCCTGCTCGTGGCAGATCCAGTACTCGCAACAGCAGCAGGACTTCCAGTGGCGGCAAAAAGGTAGTGCATGAGTTTGAGGTCTTTGCGGAAGATCCTGATGAGAATCCAAATGCCAAGCGAGTTTCCTTGCCGCCCCGTCATGGCAATCGTGGTCGCTCCTTACCCACTTCTCACACCAGGAACAGCGATACCACTACCACCACCAGCGGCAGCTCAGGAAGCAGGTCGTCTAGTCAGGATGCTTCTTCCCGCGGTGGCTACGATATCTGGACTGATGATTTCATCCAGAAGCAGGAGGTAAACACACTGGAAATGAAAAACTCTGCCAAACAATGAATTTGCTCTGTAGTTTCACTCTACAGAAGGGGCAGAGTGAACTCCCAGAGTTTTGGCTAAGTAATGAGTTCGAACAGGCCGCAGAATGTATGTGACCCGAGTTGGCATGACAGGGATGGCAGGCGCATGATTCGATCCTTGCACAGACCAGGTATACTACTATCTATATATGTATACCTATATATATTTATAACCACAGGTTAACCGTCCTAGAAGAGGAGTTGTCACATTCACAAAGTACACGAAAAGAAAACAATTACGCCCTCACGCAAACCAAAAAACAGTCAAGGCTGCACTGACAAAAGACATATGGGTATGCATGAGAGAGGAGATCTGACAGTGTTCCGGAGGTGAATTGGACGTGTCTTTTAGTTTCTGGTGTCGCCACCCTATCACCTGGAGCCCAAACTTGTTGAGCTTGAACCAAAGCAAAGGTTGCAGTATTTCTTCTAGACACAGAGGCACCCACTATACAAATCCTTGTAGCATTGGCATACGCTTCTGCATCATGCACACTCACTATCCAA